ATCAACATTGTATCATAAAGATAATGATAGACATCTTGCTTGAAATGATTCCACTCTTCAACTTGATATTTTATTAATCTTAATTCTTAGATGAAATATTGTTTTTTATCGCAATTATGATGTATTACATTATCATGATATGTCAGCAAAAGATTGGTTCGTTCTAGAAAGACGGATTTCTGGCATATTATTTTCTTTGATATGCGATATCAGTATAGAGACGGTTTCAGTTAAAACTAACTTTTTTATGAAATTAATAAAATTAGAACTTATCATAAAGAAGAATTTATTATAAAACATGATAAATATAATGAATTAAATATAAAATTCATATTGACCTCTATTAAATATGATAATATTCAATTTAAAGATGAAAAGTTTAAACTTGCTCAATTTTTCAATCAAATTATATTTTTAAATTCAATAATCAATATAAGAAATAGGATTAAATGAAATACAAAATAAAAAGTTACTTACATTACTGGCTTTTGAAATACTAGATTCTTCCCAGCAAGCAGAAAAAAAATGGAAGTTGTGAATAACCTTTAACAAAACGTGTAATATTATTAATTTGTAACTTATCATATTACAAAATATATATTTAATATATTTAAAGTTACTTACATCATTGGTTCTTGAAGCACCAGTTTCTTTCCAGGAAGCAAAAAAAGAGTGGAAGTTGTGAATAACTTTTAACAAAATTTGTGATATTATAATTTGTGATTTGTCATATTACGAAATATATAATTAATATATCTAAAATATTATTATACGTTATAAAATATTCCTAAAAAAATTAATTGTCAAGTGTCTATAAATATCTTGTAATACTGAAATTGTAAATTTAAGTACTAAATTTTCAAATATATATTTCGTATTAGCAAAATATTGCGCGCTTTCTTTGCCCAATTGAACGAAGTTGCGCAGTAGATGTAATGCGCAGAACACGGTCAAACCTCTTTCTGAAAATTCCCGAAAATTATTCGATAAAAATGTAAATGTGGATGAATACTAAATAAATGTTAACATTTATTTAACAAAAAGAAATAAAACAAGCACATAAATACATTTTTTTTTTCATCGGAATAAATCAAAAGTTGTTAGTCGTTAATTATCACGGTATCCTCTTGCGTTGTTTCGGTTAGTTTCAAATTTAACTAATAATTACGACAATAGTATTTCACTATAATGCTGATATCACGTATATGTATAATACACGGACAAAATTGTTCAAATTTAAATATTTTCATGAATCATTATGGAGACACATGCATATATTCACTTCTAACCTACATCGTCAATCATTGAATCGAATATACAAATATAATAAGTTATTACTACTAATTCGTTTTAAAAAAGCGTATTGTTGTAAATCATAGACGTAACGCAAAAACAAATCGAAAAATATAAAAATATCAATTTCAATTTTTACCTGACAAAACGATTGCATGATATTTCCTTCTGCACTCTCCCGCCTAACACTTCTACGTTACGTTACAAATGTAGCTGATCGATCGCGAGAAATATCGATTCGACGTTCGAGAATCGTAGCAACCATACAACGTATTTCACTCATGGCGCTGTAGTCAGTGCGCGCGCATACCGTATAAAGTGTGCATCGTTCTATTCAAATTAAAAAGCAAACCACTTTCTCTCCAGCAAATAACCAATTTCTTTCGTCTGTTCAGTAAGATAATTGACTTAACGAAGCGTTTATAATATTAAACTTTGTCCTAAGTTGAACGTGCGTGTTTCAATTCTGATAAATTGCTGAATCTGGTAATGAATGACGAAGTAAGTAACCTAATAACTTTCATTTATTTAACAAAATTTTCGTGTTAATATAGATATTATTCGAAATTGCGAATTCTAATTAACCGTTTAATATTAAAAATAATTCTGCTGACTTCATCGATTTTGATGATTGAATTGGATACAATATTACGTATTCACGCGTCTATCAAAGGGCAAATGACAGATGGCGTAACATTCCGGTGCTTTCGAAGTCGGTATTTCAGAACGCGAGACATGAAATTTTATTTTAGTCAATGCAAATACTTTATTATATTATAATCGTACCTTAATTCTTTGTATCTAAAACATATGTTTAATCGATCTTGGCACGAATGAATAATACGACATTACCGACATAGCGAAATCGAAAAGACTACAGTCAATAAATCGATAGAATGCATGATTACATAACGCCATATTCAATAAAATTTCGATCTTTGTTGACGACATTTTTTTACTAGACTACTTCAATTGAACTCAGCAAATATTTATTATCAAAAATATAAATGTTTTTGTCTATTTCACTAAAATAAGATCTTCACTAAGATCTTACTTATTAAAATAAAAACTTCAAATTAACTTATAAAGTGAACAAATCTAACATACTTCGATTTTCTAGATATTTTTTCTCAAATATTGGATTCGTATTACAGTTTCATTACTATTAGAGTTTATAGACTCTCAATACTTGCTATTATTAAAATCGTAAATTTAACATAATTGCATCTTTTTTTTTTAAAGATTTTTCACAATCTCCACTTCCATCATGGAATTTCATGTAACTTCTGATGACATCTTTCGGGGAAAGATAACAATAATGATCACACTCTTCTCATCGAATGGTAAGTTGTATGCAACTTTTATTCCTTTGGTCATCTAATCATATCGTAGGATGGAAGATCCGAAAAGACACGAATAATTTTTTTTTTTT